TGTGACATGTTGTTTCTGGGTTTATCCTATTTTTCTATTAAATTATATATATATATTATGAAAATATAATAATATATGTATATAATAATTATAATTATACATACATATACATATATATATATTATTATAACTATAATAAAAGCTATAAACTAATTATTATATGTTTATCCTTGGTATTTCAATGGACCAACAAATACAAAGATCGCGATTGAAAAATTACTGCTTTTTGAAGCCAATTTCTGACCTGAAAAATTTGTTGCAGGATTTATTTATTAAAATATATTAATAAATTGTAGTTATAGGTCACAATGTTTATATCAATCTATCAATCAATAGGCCTATTGAAGTATTATTGCTGCGAAGCAGCCAATTCATATTCTTGACAGCAATTTGACCTCTGTAAGGTCATTGTTTGTCAAAAAACGAGTGCCTAAGACGATTAAAAAGCGGAGTTTCCTTCTTTCGTTCTTCCGGGTAAAATCAATTACTTTAGGCGACATTTGTAGACTAACCTACTCGTACCAACGTCCGCATGTCGCACTAGCCTTATCCTACTCTAGGCCTAGACTAGCTAGGATGGTATAGGCCTAGCCTTGAAGACGAAGGTCCCAATGAAAAACAACGTCGCTCCTTGATAGCTAACATTGTCTATTTAACATCACAATAATTCATTATTAGACCTATAGTTGTTTTTTGAATTGTACTCCACAAATCTCGCACAACTGGCTAACGTCTCTATCTATTGTCGTGACGTCATGGCCCGCTGGCTCACACTTGTGTTATGTCTCGCACATGTGATCAAATAACACGCTGGCTCGCACTTTGGCAACACTCTTTGGCAATCAACTCGCCCCTAGAAAACCCGCCCTTGGAAACTTGCCCCATAAAAAATGTACACTTCCTAGACCATGCAGTCTTCAAAATAAATATTGTAACCTTTGGTAATCAACTACATTTTTCACATACATAGAAATTTTTGAAACTTTATTAAAAAAACCTAAACCATAATTCACCACACTATAGACACTTTTTGACAAAAATGAAAAATTACGACTTTGTTACCCAATGAGAAGTGTTCTAATATAGACAATGGGTCGTGTCTCATATTGTTTGTTATAGTTTTATTATTCATTATTTTCACTTGACTCGCATAAATAATTTTGTTCGAAGAACATTTATATGCAGTTTTCACTTGACTCGCATAAATAATTTTGTTCGAAGAACATTTATATGCAGTTGAACTTCGCAGCACTTCACTTGCAATTTGCAATTTCTAGTTGAAGTATTATTAATTCCTTATAAAAGCATTATTCGAGCACCTTCATTATTATTATTATTATTATTATTATTATTATATTCATAGCCGTCGGAAGCATTTTGAAAGTGGTCCGGCCATTCTAGGGGAGTGTAAGGGTGGTTGGAGAAAAGTGGGAGGGGGTGCCGTTCGGGGTCCAGACGTCCTTCCTCGGAAAATTTTGTTTCTGTTGTAGATTCCCGAAAATGCGCTTTTTAGTTCAATTTTTATTTAATAAATTTTATTTTTTAGGCATTTTTATTAGTGTAATTGTGTTAATTATTAATTATGAAATTCAATATATTGTACCGTATATATTATACCTGTACTCTATGATTAGGCTAAAAAAAATTATGTTGTGTTGTTCAAAGGTCTTCCTTTTACTCAAGTAAAATTTCGAGAAATACCGCATCCGAAATTAACATTACAACATAAAATCTAAAACAGACATGTATTTTGACAAAAATTGGGCCACAGATGCACACGTAAAATCGGTAAAATAGAAGGCATATTTGAGAACCGAGCGTGACGACAGTGAAGATGTATATGCGCGAACATCGGATCTCTCGCACTGTCAACCCACGACTTGCCACGACCCAATCTAGGCTATTCTTTACTACTCTACACAACTAGTGTTTGCCGGAATCAAAAA